CATCGAAGTCCATACCAGTTGAAACCAATGACTGGCAGGGATACCTAAGGAAAAAACGTAGGAGAAAACGATAAAATTTTCATCCCGGAGGACCCTTGGCAAGACCGGGATTCAAACCTGACCGAAATACAAAACCCATCACACACACACCCCCTGTGAAGTTGTTTTTTTTTTCTGGCACAATATTGTCGTCGTTCAGAGGATTTTTGTCCATTCAGTTCACCGATCGCATTCCGCACCGTACCGTTGTATTGGATGATCTTACAGGCATTTGACCAACCGTTGCTCGAGGAAGCTCATTTTGGCCATCTTGACTGTCGTATCGACCCTCTCGACCGACCATGGTGTGGAAGAACGCTGTTGGCGTGAAGCTATTCTGGACGAAACCACGAGGCGCTGGGATTTTCGCTACGGATCGGATGAGATAAACTCAGTTTCATCGTGCAGACAGGTGCAGGCAATACTCACAGCATTTTCCCTTGGAATCCGAAGCCCAATGAGGTAAACAAAGAAGTCAACCTTAGCAACGATTGACAAAACGTCAACTCTCGACAGTGATGCCGTTTTATATTATGTTGATTGTATCCTACTTGTCAACGTTTGTCCTAAAGAGCCGAATAGTGTGCCATGCTGTGCTTCGGCACAGTGTGCAGAGTTGATTACCCCTTGCCTTTACTCGCATTCTGCTTACTATTTACAATTCGGCAGTGAGCATGCATAAGAGCGTAAACGCGTTGATTGATTCTCTTCGTTGATTTTCTCGGTGGGTTTGCTGTTGCTTTTGATAGCCAATACAACCTGTTACAACTCTGCATTGAACAAATTCTAGAAAATTGTTTCGCTTAGCTGTAGCAATGCAAAGAGAAAATCGAGGAAGAGAATCGATCATCGCGTATACGCCCTTATGCATGCTCACTATCGAATTCTCACACTGCCGTACTATAACGGAGCTATCAACTCTATACTTTCATCGTATTAAATGTCCACTTTAAGACTGATATTTGACGTTAGGCATATCCAACTGTATATTTAATATCCAGGTTTACACACTGAAACCCATAGGATTTAGAACGCCCATAGAAATCACTACCCGAAACAGACATTTTACTGAAGGCTACTGCTTTCCATTGCTGAAGAAAATTGTTCTTTATTAGACGGACTTAATGTTATTCGGGAGAATGTTATAGAATCGAGTAAGAGAGCATTAAACAAAGTAAAGGGTGAACACGAAATTATTGCAACACTTACAACTGGCTGTATCTTTATTCCTACTTGGTGCAAATTAATCAAGCTTTGCATAGTTTATCTTTGAAGTGTATTGTTTACATCCTGTAAATTGCGTTATTGTCTATTTCGATGTCGTTAAGATGAAAGTGAGTCAAGTCAAGACGCGTGAAAAAATTGTGCACGCTCACATGGAAAATCCGGAGCCGTCCGATCGTCCTTTAGGAAAAATACTGCATATCAATAATTCAACCGTATCAAGAGTTATAAACAGGTTCAAGAACCGGTTGATAATGGATCACACGCACGGAGCAGGATGGAAACTAGGACCAGCATGTAGGAAGCCGGAGGGAAAGGTGAAGGGTAGTTTCACCCGAAATCCCAACATTTCTACACCTCATGTTGCCAAAAAGGTCGGTGTTCCGCAAAGCTAAGTGCAGAAGTGCAAGTTTTATCAAGGTTTTAAAGCGTTTTACAAGTCCAATTCATAGCAGAACCCTCATAAAACCAAAATTGTTACTTGGGCTCTCCCCCACCATCTCCTCCTCGCCAACCTGCACCCCCACACCATTGCCCCCGAAAATCTCTGCACTCCCCCGCCTAAAGGCTTACCCAGAAGCCTCGAAAGGCCCATGAATTGTTTTTTTTTTCCGGCCCAAACAAACTTTTTTGAACATTCCGAGGATATCTAAGGATCTTACAGCGCATTTTTCGGCCGTTACCGACATTTTTAAGGCGACAACAATAAAACTGCGCGTTACCGTTGATGACCGGAAGCAGGTTAACCGAATTGTTGCGTGCGAGCTTTTTTCATTGGAATACCGTCGCCGAAGCAAGTTTGACTAGTGATGATTTCTTGGGTCCCGATTCCTTCGGAATCTTTAAAAACCGTGCTCTCCCGAAAGTGAAGATATTAGACTGCCTTCAAATGCAGTCAGTAACTATCGTAGGTTCCAACAAATCTTATTCCTTGTCAAACTCGCTTCGTTTACCCTTTTCGGGTTCAGCGTTACCTCACTACGTAGCTATTGGCAAGGTTCGGCTGCCTGTACGTCTGTTTGTACTGCTGCTCGAACAAACCACGCTGCGATCAGTGTGGCGAGCAGAATCAAGAGAGTTCTTGCAGTGCTCCTCCAAAATGCGTGTACTGCAAGGAGAGTCTGCATACTGACTGCCCGAGGTATAAACAGCAGGGAGACAACATTAAGCGGTCTCTGCAAGCTCGCTCCAAGAGAACAATAGCAGAACTCTTGAAGAATACCGCTTCACCTTCTCAGATCACTCCAAAAAGCAGTAACACTTTCTCCATTTTGCCAGTTGATGATCTAGACTTTGACTCAGAGGGCGGTGAGGGTAGTCCGTTTGTCTTTAAAGGCAATACGAGAAAACGAGCCAAAAAACACACCACCGAAAAGCCTCGTAAGGCCACTTGTATGGACCGCCCTCCCCCCTTAGAAAAATCAAGAGGTAACGGAAATGCACCGAAACCCATTCGACCGGGTTTTAAACCTTGTAATTATGACAAGAACTTTCCGTCACTTCCATGATCATCTAAAACCCCAGATGTCCCAGTTTTTCGGCCAGAAAATCAGCTGAATAATCGTTTTCTGGTATTGTGGATAGCTTCTTCAGTATATTCATTATCTCTGACTCAACGAGGAGCATTATTAATTTAGTGCTGCCAATGGTGAAAACTCTTTTGAAGCAACTAGCTTCTAGGTGGTCCTTCCTTGCATCGATAATATCCTTTGATGGATAATTCTCCGAATGAGGTCGGGGATATGATCTCTGTTATTCAGTGGAACTGTTGAAGTCCTATGCCAAAACTTGATTCACTTTCTGATGCGTTTGCCCTTTGTGAAACATGGCTTTCTTCAGACAACGATCTTGCTTTCCACGATTTCAACATTATTCGCCTTGACCGCGCAGATTCGTATGGAGGGGTGCTTCTGGGGATCAACAAGCTCCATTGCTTCTTCAGAATCGATCTGCCTTCGGTGACAGGCATTGAAGTAGTTGCATGTCAGGTTAATATTCGAGGTAAATGCCTCAATATTGCCTCAGTATATCTTCCACCGAGAACCGCGATCTCTCGTCAAAGTCTCGCGGATATCTGCACGGCTATGCCGGAGCCACGGTTGATCTTGGGAGATTTTGACTCTCACGGTACAGGCTGGGGGGAACTGTACGACGACAACCGCTCAACCTTGATATACGACATGTGCGACTTCTTCAAAATGACAATTCTGAACACTGGGGAAGTAACACGAGTGGCCAAACCTCCAGCAAGAGAAAGTAGATTAGACCTCTCACTTTGTTCGAGTTCATTATCGTTGGATTGCTCGTGGAAAGTAATCCAATATCCCTAAGGTAGTGATCATTTGCCAATCAAAGTTTCTATTACCAATGGTTCATCTTCTACTCGCTCGGTTGACATCGCGTACGATCTTACGAAAAATTCGCGACCGCGGTTCTTGATGTCATCTTGTGTTCTCCCAAGTTGTTAGCTTCCCATCGGTGTACCCTCATGTCTATCTTTTTCATAAGTATGTCGCTTAGTTTGAGATCAAGAGCACATTGCGCTCCAAACCTTGCGTTCTCAATCCCTACCCTGCCATCCATTTGTTACAATTTGTTACCCCTAACCTCGAGATAGCCGCGAGTAATCGGCCCCCGCTTTACTAACGTTAGTTTTAAGTAATTTTGTAATCCAAACAATGAATATCGACTCCGCAAAGCTACGGAAAATGAGCCTGAAAACACGCATTATAAAAAAAATGTATACTGAGGTAAAACATGTATAGAATCACCCTAAAAATTTGGTTTTTCTTTCTGATAAATACAAAAAATTTGAGAGCAAATTAAATGTGTTGCAATAATTTCGTGTTCGCCCTTTATAGCTTCTCGCCAGTGTGGTCAGTTCTGAACAATTCTCTGTCACATAAGCAAACGACTTGGCACGAGCGCCTCCGATTTTGATGAAACTTTCGATATGTCTTCAGTATGGGAGGTTATGATTTTTTCCACAGATCACAAGACCATTTTGACTCAAGACTATTTGTTGAAAAGGGCGTATGTGCTTTAACATATGAATTTTTCAAAAAAATCAAACTCCAAAACCGTTTATTGTATCAAAATTGAGTCTGAAAAGAAGTTGTTGAGAATCGATTGGACTATTTTTTTCAGTGTATATTTTTTTCCTTTAAAGTCCAATCAATTCTCTACAACTTCTTTTCAGACACAATTTCTACACAATAAAAGGTTTTAGTGTTAATTTTTATTGAAAAATTCATATGCGAAAACACATACGCCCTTTTCAACAAATAGTCTTGAGTCAAAATGGTATCGTGATCTGTGGAAAAATCATAACCTCCCATACTGAAGACATGTTGAAAGTTTCATTCAGATCGGAAAGAGTCGTCCCAGATTTATACTTTTTCTGGAAGATTTAACCTCAACTACGAGTTTATCCGTAGATCTACGGTTCTTCTATGGTCGGTCCCATAAGATTCTACGGATTTTATATATTGGCAGGGAGAATTTCTACGGGTCGTACTCCATGAAAAGTTAACAACACTGTAGTTCTTGCAATGCACACATTTTTCAGAACCACCCTTAAAATCCAAACCACTTTGCTGTGACGCCATGCTAGCTTCTGCTGTGACACAGCATTAAATATAGAATTCCGAATTTGGAACAAACCATTTTTTTATCGATACTTTTTTCCATCTTCTTTTCTCTCTCCCACGCGCCGACAACAACAAAAACAACAACAGTGAGCCAATTGGAGGATGACGACGTATTCGATGTGAACGACTACCGGGACGTCATCAGTTCTTCCAACCAGCAAGCAGCACCACCTCCGCCGCAACAGCTACGCCTAGCCTCGACCGGTTCGCTCGACTACGACTTCTACGAGGACATGGACGAGCGGGACAGCATCTACCTGGATGCCGTATCGATCAACTCGGATGGCACGACGAACAACGCGCGGAAATCACTCTACCTTTCGCGCCAAACCGTGTACCACTCGGCGGAGGAACTCCAACTGGATTCGGTGCTGCACGATGGCAGTGGCGAAACCGGAACGTTGAGAAGCATCAAAGCGACCACCGAATCGTTGCTGAACGATTCCCGTGCTAACGGGGGCCTGCCGAACCTACCGTGCGAAGCCCGGGCCAGTGGCAGCGCCACGTCGGGATCCTTTGGCGGTGGCATCCTGAAGCGACCGGGCATGGCGACCCAGTACAACGAAGAGGTGGCTAGCACTAGTCCTCTATTACTAGACAATCATTCCACATTCGACCACAGCACCAACACCACCAATCAGACCGATTCCCAAACCATTAGCACTAACAATCGACAACAACAACAACAACAACAACAACAACAACAACATCCCGACCGTTGTAGTAAGCATGAGCCAAGACAGATAGTTACATATTCGCTGTGGAAATCGAGGGTAAAAGCGTAATTTTTCATTCTACTTATTCTTCGTTTTCTTGTGATTCTTGATTCGTACTAACCTCATGCTCCTATTAACAATGTATCACTTCACTGTTACATGCCATAGTTTACGAGTGGAAATGGTATCACGAGTTGGAATTGGTCGCGTGCGACCAACAGTAGAAGCACAGTGAGACAAAATATCATTCGAAAATGGTTAAAATTCTAAACGCTGACCCACTGTTCGATCTAACCGAAGAGCCCACCCTCACACCAAAGTGGAATCGGAAGGGTAGGCACTCAATCGAGGTTTGCCATCAACAAACGCACACTTTCACACTAACGATTCATATTTTTTTTTTCCCTCTGAATGACTTCGCTGTTTTCCTATCTCTTAGCTCCAGGAAAACGCAGTAGACCGTGTAGTTTTTAACCTTCACCGAAATGTGTTTCCCCACCCTCCCTCATCATATCACTCGCCTATTTACTACTACTGCTACTAACCTACAATTGACTCAGCAGGCGACAGCACCAGCCTACTTTCTTTCCCTCTCCCTTCCAAAATGTGGTGTCCCTAACCTTCAGGAAAAACGCGGTTGATTATTGGAAAATTTATTCACCCATTCAAAGTACGCACTTCTGTCGAAAATCAATTTTTCAAACACAATTTGTCATTCCTTTTTAAAATGAAAAATTCAACGCCCGTCAAGCAGTCATCAGTGCTGTCACAGTGTCACACATTAGAAATAGTGATTAGCTGCCATTAGAGCGGACCGAAACGACTCAATCGCTATGCATATTAGGTGTTCGGTTTGACACGCTTCGTTTTTTTTTCCGCTTCCATTTGAGTGGCGAATTGTTCGTGGATTGATAACGGGGCGTTTCGCGCTTCGTTTCGATTCGGGGAGCTGTCCAAAGTGTCCGAAAAATTGGTAATTACTGAGCCTTAATTTATTAGTACGTTTGTTATCACCATCAGACATAAAGTAGGTACAATGTTTGCACTGAGTGTGACTTTGAGCGCTGCTGTGCTGACAGAGCTGGTAATAATAGACATGCGATGGCACTGTTTGATGGCAATAAATATCGGCTTATGGGAAGTGCTTGGTTATTGTTATCGCATGGGACTAGGCTGGGAAGTATTTTAGCGCCGCGTGGAGGTGCACTTGAAATTTAACAAAGTGCATTTCGCGACCAACAACCGGAAAGGGCCTATCAGCTTTTGTAAACAAAATTTTGAATGCCCGATCCTTGCAGACCGAAGGCCGCCCACGCAAATCAATGGCATCATCATGTTGCCCGATGATGCTGTTGGTTTGTGTGGACGCACTACGCTTTGCGAGGGAAGGATTTAAAAAAGTTTTTTTTTGCGAAAGCTGATATACCCTTTTCAATTGGTTGTTCGAGATTTGATTAGCAAGTCTTATCTGAGACTGCTGGAGGGATGAATGACCCATGATTGTATGGTGTGAATGCAGATAAGTAGAAGGAACAGGTGCATTTGCAATTCTAGCATGGACTTGCCCTTGAAAACGTTTGGGTTTACCCTGGGTACTGCGGACTCACTCCATATGTTTGTCATCTGGCAGCCAATGCACTATGGTTCGAAACGGAAATTTAGCAGGAAAACATTATTTACTTTACTGATAATGATCAACCCGATTTGTATCTTCCTAAAAGTTGTCCTTGCTCGTTTTCTACTCTCAATATACAATTTTCACACTGCCGTACTCTAACGGAACTATCAACTCTATACTTTCATCTCCTCATCTATCGTATAAAAATTACCACTTTAGTCTGTTATTTGTAATCAGCATCTGAAACTATTATTTACTTTGTTGCAATTAATTTTAGAGGGTTAGTATCTTCGCAGATGTTGTTTATATTGAACTGGGCCTCCTTTTTGTAAAACCGATGATTAGAGTGGTCCTCATTTTAACCTAAATCAGAAATCAAACTTTTTGTTTGAAGTTACATATTGGTAGTTACATTCTTCAGCAAAATTGTAGAACAAAATATGTCAAGCAACTTTTCTGCAAACAATTATTTTTCTAACTCTTCATCTGACCACACTAGAGCTATTTTTCTGCTTAAGTTAGGGTGTCCCTAAAAAAATCTGCTTTTTTTTATTCTAAGTTTTTTTTTTCGTTTCAAATGTGACGAATAAGTAATCTTAAGAAGAGTTGTAGAGAAGGTTATGGCGCACTTTTTTGCTGAATAATTTATTTGAGTATAGTTTAAAATTCAAAAGTAATTTTACCATAAAAAGCATGCAGTCTTCAAATGTAGTTTGATGTTTTCGATATTGACACTGGAACTTCCGGAGGCAGCTTCTGCACGATTTCGTTTGAGATTTCTGTTGCTACCGGAGGAGGTTGCTGGGAGTTTCTAGAAAGTTTATGCGTGTTCACGGCGGAGAGAATACCATAGCATGATTCTGGTAGATATGTTGTAAGTTACGGATGTTCCGGGGAGATTCGACAGTGTTTGCAAATGTTCACGTCGGATAGAGTTCCGGGCGATTTCGATGGAGATTTTCGGTGCTGCCAACGGAGGTTCCAGTGGGTTTCAGAGAATTTCGACAAATTTTTTCCGCATTCTCGGTCGAGGAGCTTCAGGAAAAAAAACAATTCTCGAGCCAGGAGTGTGGATTTGAGCGATCCGATGTGGTAGGAACTGTGACTTAGAGCATCTCACTACAAAAAATGCACTGAGAAAATACATTTAATTTTTTTGTTTCTGGTCAAAATGCATTTATTTATTTTTTTTTTATAATAAATGTACCACAAAAGTGATCTGCCCTTAGATTCTAATTCATTATAATTCTTCAAATTTGAAAACTTCATGAGAAGTTTTGGACCAGGAACTTTTTTAATTTGAAATTGTCTTATGACATAAGGTCATCGCAGATAACTCGGCTCTGTAAAGTTTATTCGATTGAGCCTGTACAAATAAAGTAATTAATAAAAAAAATGAGGTCATCGCAGACAAAAAATGAAAAAAATCGTACGTTGGAATGAAGAGAAATTCACATTCACATTCTCATTCTCATTCACATTCTCAGACATATTTTTGATAAATTAGTTGATTTTGATAAAAAAAAATAATTAGAGTTACAGATGTCAACTTTCAGTTTATGGACAGCTAAATAAACAAATAAATAAATAAATGAATTAATTAATTAATGTATAAATAATAAATAAAATAAATAAAATAAATAAAATAAATAAAATAAATAAAATAAATAAAATAAATAAAATAAATAAAATAAATAAAATAAATAAAATAAATAAAATAAATAAAATAAATAAAATAAATAAAATAAATAAAATAAATAAAATAAATAAAATAAATAAAATAAATAAAATAAATAAAATAAATAAAATAAATAAAATAAATAAAATAAATAAAATAAATAGAATAAATAGAATAAATAAAATAAATAAAATAAAAAAAATAAATAAAATAAATAAAATAAATAAAATAAATAAAATAAATAAAATAAATAAAATAAATAAAATAAATAAAATAAATAAAATAAATAAAATAAATAAAATGAATAAAATAAATAAAATAAATAAAATAAATAAAATAAATAAAATTAATAAAATAAATAAAATAAATAAAATAAATAAAATTAATAAAATAAATAAAATAAATAAAATAAATAAAATAAATAAAATAAATCAAATAAATAAAATCAAAACAATAAATAAAATAAATTAAATAAATTTAATAAATAAAATAAATTAAATAACTTAAATAAATTAAATAACCTAAATAAATTGAATTAACAAAATAAATAAAATAAATTAAATAAAGGAAATAAAGCAAGTAATTAAAATAAATAAAATAAATAAAATAAATAAAATAAATAAAATAAATAAAATAAATAAAATAAATAAAATAAATAAAATAAATAAAATAAATAAAATAAATAAAATAAATAAAATAAATAAAATCAATAAAATAAATCAAATAAATAAAATAAATCAAATAAATAAAATAAATCAAATAAATAAAAAAAGTATACAAAAATATATAAAAAAATAACAAAAAATAAGGATAAAAAAATTAATAAATAAATAATAAAGTATTTAAATAAATCAACATAAAAAAAATTAATAAATCGATAAAAAAAATAAATAAATCAAAGAAAAATTAAGCAAAAAATAAATTAATAAAAAATAAATAATAAAAAAATAAATCAAACAAAAAATAGATAAAAATATAAATAATTAAAAAAAAAAAATAAACAAAAATTTAAAAAATAAACAAGAAATCAGAAATAAATCAAAAAATAAATAAATTAATAAAACAAAAAAATCATAAATCAAAAATTTAAAAAAATTTAAAACTAGTAACTCAAAAATAAACCAATCAAAAAATAAATTAATCCAAAATAAATAAATAAAAAAAATAAAAATAAATCGACAAATAAATAAATAAAAAAAATAATTAAATCAAATAATTAAAATATCAAAAAATAAATAAATCAAAAAATAAATAAATCAAAAAATCAAAAATTTATTAATCAATTATAATTTTTTTGGGTTATTTAGTTTTTGATATATTTTCGAAATCTAAAAAAAAATACAAAAAATCAAGAAATAGAAAAAAACAAAAAAAAAAAATAATAAAACAAAATAAAAAAATAAAACGAAGTCGAAAATAAAATAAATCAAACACTAAATCAATCAAAAAATAAATTTACCAAAAAATAAATGAAAAAAAAATAATCAAAGAATATATAAATCCAAAAATAAAGAAATCAAAAAATTAATAAATCACAAAATTAATAAATAAAACAATAAAATATACAAATTAAAAAGTAAATAAATAAAAAAAACTTAAAATTAATAGATCAAAAAATAAATAAATTAAAAAATAAACAAACAAAAAAATAAATCAATAAATTAATTATTTAAAAAAATAATAGAGCAAAAAATAAATAATAAATGAATTAATAAACCAAAAAATAAATAAATCAAAAAATACATGAATAAAAAAATAGAT